CCCCCAACCGAAGAGCATTGGCCTCTAAACTAAGAGCGATAGTCTCCAACCCAAAGAGACCGATGACCTCAAACCCAAGTGCAATGGCCTCCAGCCTAGGGCCTTGAGAATCTCTGAGATCTTCAGTGATTGACCTGACATCTTCAGGTCGCGGAAGACAGTGCAGCAATGTCCAGCTGGACCTTTGCGAAAGCTGCTTTCCGATATGCTAGCGAAGTCCGAGGACAAAGTGTCACTGAAGGTAGGAAGGTAAATATAAACAGGAAGGGAATGCAAGAAGTTGGGAATGCAAGAAGTTGGCGCATTGACGTGCACAGGGTTTTGCAAAAAACAACTTCGATCAGCTCTGAATAGCTAAGTACGACACCTGCCGCTTCTGGCCGGTGTTCTTTGAGAGAATACGCTTGAAGATGCTGTAAAAAACCGAGTTAAAACTATTTCCAAAAAACTGGACATGTATGGGGTGACGTTCCTTGTTGGCATGCAGTAGCCTTCACAATAGCCTTAGTACTTGCGCAGTTGCATCGAAAATTGGTCGAATAGGTTTCAGTCCAAGAGATGAAGCCCCAGGACACACCATCAGAACCATTATCTCAAATCGATCGAGCGAGACGATGGGCAGCATCTTTGGTGTCCTCGCCCCGATTCGACTACATTGCAGGATTTGTTATCCTTCTGATGCTTTGCAGCGTCTTTGAATACGTGTTTGCCTTTAAGCACGAAGCCACCTTTTTTGTCTGTCATGTGCAATGTCATCATGTATTGCGATGTCTTGGCTGTTTAGGAATTTGGTGACCATTGGCTTCGAAGCCGAACTGTCCCTGGAAGGCTCTGAGTATGAGTCAGGTTTTTGGTTTGCTGGAGTTGAGCGAATGTTTCTGAGTATTTACATCGCAGAAGCTGCATTTCGCTTGTTTGCTCTTGGCCTACCTTTGCTGTACGACCGATGGTTTATTTTGGATCTTGTTTTGATTTGCACCGGCGCTGTGGCGCTATTGATTATACCTTTGGCCTCCGAAGAACTGGCGGGCTTTGAGAAGGTGCTTGTGGCCCGCGGCTTGCGTCTCTTACGATTGCTACGCGTCCTTCGGATGGTCCACCAGTTCAAGATCATTTGGCGTTTGGTCTACGGCTTTCTCACAGCGTGGGAGACTATTTTTGCATCAGCTTTGCTGATCATCATCTCCCTCTTCATTTTCGCGTGTATCGCAGTTGAGGCCATGGATCAACATTGTGAATATTGAAGGTATAGCAATTGGGGTAGACCACTAATTACTAGCTTGTCAAGGAAGGCTGATGTGCCTTTTTCACTCTCGAGAAACAAATGCCTTTCGGTACAGTTCGGTGTTAGCACCGTGCGGAACAGACTCCCCCTCTGTCTTTCGACAGACCTTGGTTGGGAAAAGTAGGCTCAAGGCATTCAAAGCTTCTTCAGGCCTTTGGCCCGGTAGTATTCGGCCCGCATCTTTTCGGCCGTCCATCCTCTTCCAGCATGTTCGTGCTGGAATCTATTCCACGGATTCGTGGGGATTGGTTCACTTTCTGACTTCCTTGGTGGGACGAAGAGGATTGGCCCACCTTGTTCACTTGGTGACTTTGTGCCACCTCTTGACGCAGCCATGCCGATGCCGCGATCGCTTGTCCTGCGACCTTCCCAGCCACCAAAGCTTGTTCGGCCGCCTGCTCAGCCGCTTGTGCTGCTATCTCGGCATTCTCCGCGGCCTTCTCGGCACCATCAGCAGCGGCGCAGGCCGCCAAAAGAATCCGCTCATCAGGCCCATCCAGCCGTGAGCTTGAGCTCTCTTGACTGCTCTTTCTGCCCATCGATCGTGCCGTAGAGCTCCTCAATCTCGCCATCGTCTTTTCCTTTTTGGCCTGAGAGGTCTCGCAGACCTGATCACGGGCCGACATGGCTTCTTCTTCACTGATGTTCTCGGCTTCATCTTCCGTGGTGGAGCTACTGCTCCAGCTGCCATCATTCTTGTAGTAGAGCTCTTCGAACTTGGTCGCCTCGATCGCAGAGAGGTGGTCAGGTTTCTTTCATCAGCTCTGGCTCATCTCCAAGGCTGTGAAGCTCGCTGGGCAGCACATGCAGTCGACGAAGACAGCAATGCACTGATGTACAGGCCAGCTTCGCCACCCAGATTGCCCCAATCACTACCAGCACTAGGCCGCACAACCACAGATGTCCAAAGGCCGCATCTGCCTCCTGATCCCCTTGCGCTTCAGCGGCTCTCACCAGCAGACCACCCGCCAGCAGCGCACGAAGAGCAACTTGATGGTCTTGTGCTTGGAGTGGCTGACTGCCACCAACCATCTTCTTCACTTGGGCACCACTCTTCAAGCCCAAGTCTCGTTGGAAGCCTTCAAAGCTCTGCCCCATCAACGGCTTGGTCATACCATCCGCCACCAACTCTGTACCCTTGAGGTGGCTCAACTTCCAAGGGCCGCCAGGAAATGAGCTCTGTTCTTCGAGTGCCTCGCGAAGGATATTTGAGCGGACGCTCAATGTCTCGTCCGCCATGATGTGTTGCTGTTTCCATGAGCCAGGCCAATCGCTGCAGCATTGTCCCCATAGATCACTCTTTTGAAGGAGTTGGCTGTCAGCTGCTCCCCCCACATCGCACACAGCAAAGCCTCGGTGGCTCGACCTGCAATCAAAGCTTCACAATACGAAACCAGCTCAGCTTCCGCCGTACTGTGGCATACGAAAGGCTGAGTGGAGCTCTGCCAAGCGATCGGTGCCCCAGCGAAGCACAACACCAAGCCCTGGACGCTTTTGTAGCCAGTGCCCGTGCCATACGCGATGCCCGCGAAGACTCCAGCAAACGTTCATGCCGCCGGACTTTCAACTGGTCTCTTGCGCCCCCTTGGTGCTTGATGTGCTTAGAATAGTGGAGGTCACCTGGATTGCCTTTGACGTAGGCCAAAAGCCCATGCCCGATCTCAATCGCTTTGGCAGGATTTCGGGTGACCAAACGGCTGATAGCCGCAACACCAAATGCCAGGTCCGGCCTTGAACATGTCGATTGCCACAGAAGAGAGCCGGCAAGGGCCTGCGCTTCACGGACCTGATTCCGGTCCACGTTGGACTGCTGCTCACTGTCACCTTCATTGACCTTGCAGTTGGGGAAAGCAGCAGAGATGTTGACATTCCACCTTGACAGGATTTCCTGCTCGTACTTGTTCTGAGCAATGTGGTACCCATCACCTGTGGCGTCCGGGTTGGTTTCAACACCACAGAAGTGAACCGGAGCATCGCTGGAAGCCCATTCAATGCTGGATGTGGCCCACGTTGCACGCAGTGACTCTAAAGCAGCTGAGATGCTCCCCTCTTCACCTGCCAGCAAAATGTCATCAACGTACACCGACATGAGCCCAGACCAGGAGCTTTCGCCGGAGATCGAGTCCACCTCCTCCAACCGCCACAAATTCTCATCGGCTGTTTTGTTGAAACCCCCCCGGACTTCACGGTCGCCTGTGAGTCTGGTCCATGACATTTGAGGCAGCTTCGTGTCTCGATACTGCGACCAGTCTCTTGGTGATGTGGTCCGGCCGTACATGGCTAGTTTCACCAACCAAACTTCTCCTTCCTTGGCCAAACCCAAGCGACGATAGACGGCCGGGATCTCCATTGCGACCAACGTGCCATCTTCACGACGAGGGGCATTCAGGAAAGCAACACGAATGTCGGTGGCAGCCATACTCCAGCCTTTGAGGGCTGCAGTCCTCACCAGGGCCCTCAGCGCCGCCGGCGTAGCAATCCACATCGAAGCGGGTCTCAGAGTAGAGTTGCCACAGCATGCAGCACGAGCTCTGCGGGCACCGGCTCCAGCTTTCCTGGTGTATACCATCTTTGCCGGCAGCAGCTCTATAGTTTTGCCTTCCTTGCAGATCTGCTCAACGGCCTGCTTTGTTGTCACCAGCTGCGTGTGCTCCGCAGTGATGGCCGGAGTCCAATTCTCAAAATCCTCCAAGACCTTGGCACTCACGGTCTTTGCGACCAGAAACTCCTCTTTGAGCTCCTTCTGCTCTTGCGTTTGATTGCAGTGATCATGCTGAAGGAGATTTTCTTCGGCCGCAATCTTGTTCATGATGGCGTTCGTGAGCACGTCCATATAGTGGCTCTGCTCCTCCTTCGTCCTCCTCCGATCAGCCTGAGATCTCGGCACCCTGGGAACCCCCTTCACTTCATGATTGCCGCTCCGGTGTCTCAATGGTCCAACTGTCGCTGCTCACTTCGGGCTTGAAGAGGTTGGGATCGTTGGGATTGAAGGCATCAGAAACATCTCGGTGCCGACAAAGCCAAGTTTGACACCAAGCATCCTCCCCTTCCATGTGCAACATGGACACTTGGGGTATTGCGGTTTTCTCCGTGACCCGCCTTCGAGGGATGCCATCTTGCCATGCAGGGCGTTGCGGTGAGTCAGAGAGTGCAGGGAGATGGACCATCATGTCACCAGCTTCAGGTTGATCTGCGCTAGGGACCACCACATCATCAGTGTAGAAGAACTTGTTGGCCTCCAGTGGCTGAACAGTCATGGATGACTGTGATGCTGGCCCCAAGACCCTCACTTCGTCTCTGATTTCTCTCCATGACTGATAGCGATCCTGCCATGACTTCTTCAGGGCATAGGCGCGATGTTGGCTGCGAAGGCGACGTTCCCCGATGTGAAGGGCTGCCAACGGCCACATTGCCATATCAAGGGCGGCAGTGGTGATCACGGTGCGAACATGTTTTTTCACGACTCCCAGTTCACCCTCCACCCTGCCATTGGACTTGTAGCTGTCATCGGATGTGGGATCCAAAGTCCACCGCCGCACCTGCGCCGAGATCAGCTCCCTGGCCCTATCGCAATGAATGCGATACAAGGGCAACCCCGAACATCTCAACTTGGCATATATTCGTGCCAAAGCCGGCAAGATGTGGTGAACAGCACGACCCGGCAGGACCTCCACGAACGTGAGGTTACGGACCATGACATTTTGTGCCTCCTCCACTGTCTTTTGCCAGGCCTCAAAAGATTCGCGCCCTTTGCGCGCTGCCCCATCATCCTTCCCCGGAGCCTCATGGGGTTCTTCAGCCAGGATCGACTTCATCACCAGGATCATCCCCTTCGGGTTCAGTAGGGGTGTGTTCCTCCATGTCGATGGAAGGTGCCTCATGGACCTCGGCCTCCCCCGATCCGGAAGAAGCAGAATCGCCGAGGTTCACCTCAGCCAACCCCCGACAAGACCGGTCGACTGGGAATGTGTAGACTGCAACCATCATGTGCTTGCAGTCTTGTCGTTGTTGATCTTGGCCCACCACCATTTTGCCAGAAAGATCGACGCTCAAAGTAAATGCAATGTTTACAATCGCGTCGTGCAGGCATGTGGTCATTCAAGTAGTGCTGGCGCCATCTGTCCAGGCAACCTGACCCAACGGGCGAAGTGCTGCTTCCAGGGATGGTGTAGTTCCTCGATGCAGCCTATCCTTCAGAGCCAACGCCAAAGCGACCTATAGGCCTGGGGCCCATGCTGCCCATTGTTTGGAATCATCACACCTTTCTCCCATGGTCATGGTAGTGCGATCTTGACCAGCTCCATCTGGGTTGACACCGCTGGGAGGTCCGCGAAAACCGTTCAGCACCTGAATGTCACGAAGCGCCACAGCCAGTGTCGTAGGTTTCTTTTTCACATGACCCATTGGCCCTTGATCGAAGTGGAGCATCTTGACCTTATAGGCCTCAGCAAAGTCCTGCCATTCTCTGGTGCGCCAGATGGACATGAACTGTTAGGCCGGTATCGGATCGGATCTTCCGGCTGCTCAACAGCCAAGCCAGTCTGAGGTTCAGCAGGGAGCCGAACATTTTCACACAGCGCGTGCAGTGCCAGCATCCTGAACAACAATATGCTGTCACCCACCACCAACTCCAAATCCGACTGAGTCAAAGAAGGCAGACCGTATGGATGTTGCTCCGTCCTCAGAATGGCAGGACCACCCTGATTCTGATACCGCAATGCTGAGACCGTGCGGCAAGGTGGCCCAGCCTTGACACGGCCCGAAGCAGCCAAAGACAACAAATAGGCGAAGATGTGGTCATGGTGTAGGTCTGCTGCGACCTCTGCATGCAGATCAATGCACAACACCTTAACACCATCCTGCTGCAGTGCTTTCTCCCAGTACTCGGTGTCAGGGCCGGAAAACAAACGCAGAACAATTTGGTTTGCTTTTTCCACACGACGGTGTTTCCGCCTGTTCCAAAGAAGAAGGTGGCCATCGAAGCCTTGATGTAGTTGTGACAGGTCCGGCGCAATGCGCATCAAGATCTCATCCGGCAAAGCCGGAAACAAAGCTTTCAGCTTGACCGTCAAGGCGAGCTCCGTTGAATCACACAACGCAGAAAGGTCACTGCCCTGGGGGTTGTCCATCAACGTTTTGATCAGCAGGGCCTTCTTGATGACTCGAATTTGGCGTTGCTCCAACTGATCAGTAGGGCGCCCGTGTTGCACCAACACTGCCAGCTCACGACCCCCTTCATCTTTCAGGCCGCATTGAGCGCCCTTCCATTCAAACTTGTACCCCAACTCGGCAATGCCAATGAAGGGCGCAATCCAAGACTGGTGCAGTGCTGCATCATCAGGGTCCGAGAGAAGGACCTTGGAGGAAGGCTTCAGCAACTTTTGCCAGCTTTGCAACCTGCATCAGAGCGAAAATGCCGGCATGGAGCTACGGCTGTAGACGAACTGGTCGAGCCACCTTTGCCCTTGTCACCCCCAGCAGACTGGAAAGGAGGCGCTTTGGTTGGCGCTTCCATCTGTTTGACCTTGATGGGAGATGCGGTCACAACAGGAGTGCTGCTCATCAACGACAAGGTCTCCGCCTCAGCGAGCAAACATTGGCTAAACCTCCAAATGCTCTGGTGAATGGGCTGTTGATCGGTGGCCATCTGCAAACGGCTTTGTGCCAACCGAAAGGAAGCTTGAGCGTCCAACGAGGCCACTAAAACACAGCAGCAGCGTGCCATCAGGGAGCGCCGCATCGATCTCCTGGGCTCGGGCATAGTGACGGCGCCACGAGCGCAAGAGCCGCTGCCAGATCTGTAGCACCTGTGGCCTTGTCCAAGGTGGTGGTCAACTTGGAGAGCAAAATCGACTTCTCCCCTGCTCCTCCAGGTTGGTAGCGAACCAGAAGCCGGAACAACAAGGCCGTCGAAGTCAGCTCCCTGGCAGTAATCAACGCCTGTTGCTGGTCCGCCGGAATGGCACGGAGCAACAAGTTCACCCCTCGCTGCTTTGTTCTTTGATAGCAGCCATCCAGCGCTTTGGAGCGATGAGGTCTTCCAGCGATCGTAGCACTGAGCCTCTCTCAAAGTGAGATTCCACCAGTCCCTCAGCACCGGGCCACAAACAGCCAACCAGCTCAGCCTTGCTGTTGCCAGCGCCCTCATTCCAAGTGGCGGTGGCGCTGGACCACCATCAGAGCGCCATCGACCATAAGACTTGTCACCCCCTTCACGAGGGTCAAAACTGGTGGGTCTCTTTGGGTTGCACTATCACCAGCACCGGAACCATGGTCAGGGCCCCACACAAAACCTTGAAGGTCCGAGGCACGACTTGCACCGACGGTCTTGAGCGCCATCGGATTTTCAGCCGAGGAGCGAGATCCGCCCTGCACGCGATCCAAAGCAGCTTTCAGCTCAGTCACTTCCCGCTCCAAGCGCTCGGCCTTGTTCTCCATGGTGCCCGGAACAAAAGCCCTGCCCTCCCGCAAGCTAAGTGGCACCCATTGCGAGTCACCCTGCCGCTTGGCCTCGAAGGCATCAATTCGGCCGAGTCACCACCAAATTTATTTCAGCTGAGACACTTGTGGGGGACGGTGGAACAGGCGTGCATCCGCCATGGATGGAGGTGGGCGGACCGGGATTTGCGTTCCGTTCGGTGTGTACCTCACCTCATAGGATGGATGAAGCCTTCGTGTAGTAGGGCTCCTTCCCCATGGTGTATGCGCTGGAGGGCCACCACCATGAAGACCGGAACTTGAGAGACCAACATGACCATCACGTTCATGAGAGCTCCCAGCATGAGGGCCACCACCCTGTGACCCATCACCCACACCTCCGTCAACCATCTCCCATGATGACGGAGTGGACATTGCGGCTGCTGTGTCCTTGGTGGTGCGTTTTGCAACTGTTTAACCTCCTCCTGCAGCTTGGCGTTCTGTTCACGAAGAAACAAAACCATCTCGGCCTCGAAAGCCCGCTGCAAACTGTCAGGATCCCCTTTGTGAGGGGGTGGAACCGCAGCACCCGCGGTTGTCGGTGGACCCCTTGGTGGTGCTCCTTCAGGTGGAACAGGGCCCATAGTCCGACTTCCTCCATTCTTTCCAGCAGCCTCTTCACTCGGTTGCTCTTCAGGCAGTTGGCCATCCGACCTTCGATTGCCTCCTCGGCCCTCGGACCGTCGACTTGGTGGGGTCACGAACATGCGGCCCGTCGCTAAACCGCGACCCTTGCCCACTCTGCCCGCTCCTCCGCCAGCGCTTTCCACCCGCGCGTCTTCCGGTCCAAGTCCGTCCATGTCTTCATCGAAGGGGACTGGTAGATTCTCTGGCCTCTTGTGTCGAAGGGCCACTTCGTCACGAAGCCGCTGCGACCACCAGGGGTTTACCATGTCGTATGAACCCGGTGGCGTCGAGCGCGACCGCTCCATGGCAGCCGGGCTAAAAAGGATGGTTTGGGATGGTTTGGGCTCATAACCCTTGTCAAGGAACGCTGACGTCCCTTTTTCACTCTCGAGAGACAAATGCCTTTCGGTACAGTTCGGTGTTAGCACCGTGCGGAACAGAACTAGTATGAAACGCTTGCTGTTCAGTGTGTTCCTTTTTGGTGCTGGTGGTTAAATTTCTTGACCACGTTTCTTTTCTGAGGCTTGGTTCCTTTCTTTCTCAATTCGCAGGACAGACGTTTTCACGCGAGACAAACAGGACATGGGGCGCCGTTCATCAACCCTTTCACCACACACAAAACATTCCCCCCGCAGATTATTACAAAGGAATAATTTGCTCGCCAAAGCCCAAAGAGTCAAATAGGAGGAAGTGGTGTGCCCATACATCCAACGCAGTTTTAGAGACAGCGCTTGCCGGCAGGAAACGTGTTTCATGCGTTTCATGGCTTTTTGAATCAACAGCAAACGAGACAACAGGAGAAAGGTAGATGATGGGGGTGACAATGCATATACATGCCAATACGTGCCATACTTGCTTGCATTCTGAATTGTGGCTGGTGGCCCTGTCAGCCCAGCCAGTCAAAATGTATACAAATTACATATGATCCGGGCCAACACGATGAACACTACCATGAACAGACTGAGAAACTGACAAATTTGCAGCTACAATATTAGGTTCATTTTGCTATTAGGTGGGAGGCCATTCCTATTAGGTTCCTTTCGCAATCGACGGAGTCCGCATCCGACGCTGGACATGTGCACTGTAGTCTTTACTGTATGATCTGCATGTTGGAGGTGGTAGTTTGTGTTTGTGGATTCCTTGTCTCTCCTGCGGTTCCTGTAGTGGCGTTTTGGGCTGCGACTGCTTGCGAGTGCAAGTTGCTGGCTGTAGCAGCTGTTGCGATGCAGTTGCTTACATTTCGCCTGTGCACCCAGTACTTTGAGTAGGCAGCGAGTGCATTTGCACATTCAAGTTGTATTCCTCACAGAACGCATTCACATTTTCAATGGTTTGCCAACAAGCACGCTACTAGGTGGAGGCCATCGCAAGTAGATTAGAGGCCACTACTACTAGGAGCAAGAAACTACTAGTAACAAAGGGCATCGCTACTAGGAGCAATGTTCTCTCAGCTCTCCAGCTCTCATTGTTTCTGGTGGGGAGGTTTTATAACTTGACTTTATATTTTGCATAGCCACATGAAATGCCAGTCCCCGTTTGAGACCACAGTGATGAGGTTCAAGGCGGTCCGAGAGGAAGCCAAACAAGACTAGCCTTTTGAGGCGGCAAAGCTTATGCATAGCTTTTTGCTTTAACATGCGCTATTAGGTTGGAGGTCTTAGACATGTAAACCAATGGCGGCTACCTGCCCAAGCTTGCAGGTAATCGCTAAAGATAGCGACCTCACCAGCGCGAGTTTGACGCAACATACTGTTGATGGACAAAATCCTGCACCACCTC